CAGATCGCGAACCACTGCTTTACATGAAATTCCAGGGGTTGGGGACAGACAGCTGGGAAGACTGCTCCAGTGTTTGGAGGGCGGGCTTTTCTTGGAATGGCCTCTTGCAGACATCATTTACATTTTAGATTCTTGGGCTGGGACTGAGCTTGAATGCAGCTCTAGAAATGTAAAGCATTTGAGAAGGGAAATGAGTAAATATTTAGGAGGAACGCTTGAATGAGTTGGTGTAGGACAGATCTGATGCTGTGGGTGTTTCTTTTTTAAGAGACGAGGGAGTGTCTGTGTGTGATGAAGGGCAGGTTTCCTCCCAGCCAATCCAGACAAAACCATGACCAAAAGGCAATGGCAGAGATGAAAAAGACCACAGTTTGGTGGCAATATAGAATCACCCATGCAGTAGATGAGATGATATAGTAAGGAAGAGACTAATTGGCTTATTCCTTATACACTCATTTAACTGTCACATGTGACCATGGCCATTTAGCAAATTGCTTTTTCTGGTGCACTAAATGGCATAGCGCTTGAGCCAAAGAGTTATTTGCTTCTGAGCTGTCCATTCACTCTCACCGTCTTCAACGCTGAACGCATTTCTTGTATTAAAGAACGGGGTTTGTGGGACAAAATAGAATTTCAAAAATCAAGAATCTTCTGGGTGTTTCATTGATTGATGTTTTCTCCTACTTAGAAAGTCTTGCTTGCACCCCTATCTTTCCATCAGAAGTGAGTTTCTGGTTTGAAGGAATCCTGTGTGAATTAAAAATCCTCAGGTTAAGGGGAAAAGGAAAGAGAAAAGATAAGGCTTGGGACTTATTGTGTGGAATTAGGGACATTTTCATGAGTAAAATTATGACTCATAATTGTGCTCCCTAAAAAAAGAGGGGTGCTGTATTTCTTAACAAACGTGGGTATACGTATGGCCTTCAAAAATGGTGTTAAGCAGATGGCAGAATAAATTTTTTTAAATCATTGTTAGAAATAGACTTTTAGTTTCTCCTCAGATTCAGACTTCTCAAGTGTAAGAATTTTGAGATGACTGCAGGAAGAGAAATTCTAGTAAAAGAAAAAGGAAAAATGAAAGTTATTTCTGGAATGTATACCTGAGTGCCACAGAGAATTATCTTTTAATAAAACCTGGACGGGAATGAGTTTAATCTGTCTCGGAGTTCAGGGTGAATTGTGTTTCAAGTTCAACTATTCAAAGGACTTTTAATAATGTCAGACTATTAAGTATGTATGTATGAGATTGGATAAATTCAGTCTTTCTTTTCTCACAGTTTAGAAAACTAATGTGAGTGCATTAGTGTAGTCATGAAATATTTTGACTATTTTGTAGCGCTAATAATAAAGGCAGAAATCAAAAGAGAATTAAAGGTGTACCAGATCTTCTATTCCTGTATAAGAAAGACGATTCTCGGATTACATGCTTTTTCAAACACAGTTTGAATAAATGACTATTTCCCTGCATCAATATTTAAGAATTAAGTGTTGCTTCCGGCAGCAGAACTCAGTCTCTTAAGGAAGGAATATGAATAGACATTTTTTGCGGGGCTATGTTCAGTCTTATTTACTATATAAATTCTCTGCAGCCACTGAACAGCGACAGTCAAGGGTAGAAGTTTGTCAAGGTTAGAAATGTGGTATCATGGAAAGGGTCTGGACCATAAGTCAGTAGACATGTACAATAACCACATACTCTTCTCCCGGATTGTTTTGTCTGTTTTGTCGTTTCTTTACAAGTTCAAGTTCTGTGGATTCTCTCCCCCGCCCCTCCGCCCCATAATCAGTAAATGCTACTGTATTTTGCTTATTATTTTTGTGGCAAATCTATCAAGGTCAATGATTGCACCTGCCAAGCTTCATAAAGGGTCCTAAGATCTATTTTCTAGAGGATAAACTAGAATTTGGACCAAGGAATAAAATGAACTTTGTAATGTTTCACATTTGTTTCTGTTCACAGCCGTCTTTTTGGTTAAGTTTATTCTAGGTTCGCAGCTTTGGGAGTCAAAGCAGCTCAAGGCAATGGGAGCAGACAGAATTGTGAGGCTAGAAAAACTGCCAGGGCTTGCCATGTGGTTCTGAACATATCGTTTAAGTCTTCCATTGTTTCTATATGTCCATTGTTAAAGGAAATTTGCAGGAGACCGTGTTTATGAAAGCAAATAGCTCTGGCAGACATCAGCGTACTTTGGTAATAGATTGACGTAGTTGTTAACCTTTGGCTTTCATCACCCAAAGAGTTATTAATTTGTGACATTATTGGTAGTATTGATGGCCATTAAGAATTCATCAGGGGGTGCTTTCCTCTTCCTATTTTTAACTTTTCTCCTTTACGGGTAAAGCACATGACTCTGAATGCTAGGCAAGTGTCTTGTTGTCCATCTATTTTTATCTGATGACCAATCGATTTAACCAAGAGAAAATCAAAAGCTAGAAAGAAATAAAAGCTAGAACTTTCACATATAAATTTTTATCAATTTAACACCTTGATTTGAAAGTAGGCATACTTTTGTTCCATTCAAAACAGTCTATCTTTTGAATGGAACAAAATAATAATGTCTCGTATTTGTGTAGTGCTTTATGCAACATATCCACACACATGATCTCATTTGATCCTGAGGTACCCTGGACATTGAGAATGTAGAGATCATCTTCACTTAATTGAGAATGCCTCAAATTACAAACATTGTAAATTTAATGACTGGCTTAGTATAGCAAATTCCGAGGGCAGCACAGAACTCTTGTATGGACGTTACACTCATGTAACTGTTATTTCAGTTCAGATTACAGAACATGTATGAAACGCCAGTCACATACTAGTCATCGAGCTTGGTATTGGGGGGTCATTTGTCATTATAACCTTGCCAGTTATGACATTGTAATTTGGGTTGCTGTAATTTATTGCTTTTTTTTTTTTTCCTGCTTAGGAAATGTTTCTTTTAACTGATGTCAACACAAAATTCTCCATTTTGTAAATATGCAGAGAATATAATTGTGCATAAACTGAAAATGCCAGTAATCTTATAGGTTAATTATCTCCTGGGTGTGCGTCTTTATTTCCAGATGTGTCTTTAAATCTCATTTGCATCTTTTCCCTCTGGTTGTAACCTTGCCCTATGGTACATCTGTTATAATGTTGAGAATATTTTAATCTTCAATGAATATCATAAATAAAGGAAGCATTTGACCCATGATGTGGCATTTACCTTGGGGCATTCGTCGATTCGTTCATTTTCCTTTTAGAAGTCTGCCAGTGGCCATTAAAATTCTTAGAAATGGATTGAATTATTCCTACTCTTTCCTTGTTTCAACTGCTTCCACTTAAACTTGGTGGCAGATTTGGGGAGCCGTGGGCTATATTTGTTAGTATTTATAGTAGCAGATCACAAGCATAACTGTATAGCAGAAATCATCCCTGAAAGGCTTGTTTCAAATGTGAATTTCTGGTCTCCTCCCTGACCGTCTCCCAAGCTCTCCAGCCAATTCAGTTAGTCCAGGAATCTGCATTTTAACACTCTGGAAATTTTATTAAATTTCTTTGAAAAGGGTATTGGTGTTTGAACATGACTGCCATAAACCAAGAATGGGAGATGTTCTCTTGACTAGAAGTACAGGAATTGAGGGAGTTCTGAGATTTCCAACCTCTAAGTCATGATCTAGAACCCTTTTTTCTCTCTTTCCAACCAGATTTAATGTCTGCCATTAGCCAGGCCACGGTTGCACCGAGCCCACAACATGCACTGTGAGTTGGCTGTCTTTGAGCTCATATGCCAGTGACACAGGATATTAAAAGACCAAATGAGCTAGTATCAGTGTAATGTCGACACACAATTAACTATAAGGCTAATCACTGTAGCTTCCATACCACTAATAAAAAATAGAACTTTCCCCTTAGATTTGTTATAGTTTGACCTGGAAAGTGACACTTATAACACTATTTTCCGATGACATGACATAGATACTGAACACTTAGCACACAATGTAATTTATTCACATTTAATTGCTCACATGCTGCATGGAGAGACTACAAAAGCTGCTGCACAGACGGCGACATTAGTAGTCAACAACAGCATAAAGCAATCGCTTCCATTCCTTGGCCAAGTCCATAGACAAGTTCACCGACCCGATGCCGAGACCTTTGTGTGTCTCACTGGGCATCTTGCCAGAGCTCTTTGTAGGGGAGGACACTGACCCAGCAACGCCTTGGTGTTTCCATCTCTTGGGAATGAACTCTTTCTTAAATTTCAGCGCCCCACACATCCTATTCTGCAATGGTACTTAGCTGGCTTGTGGTCTGATTTGGTGAGTATTTCAAAGAACTTGGATTTTGGAGATATGAAGAAGTGTCCATGGGTAACAGGAAACTGACTGTCTTTCTCTTGTCCCTAAAGAAAGCAGAATAAGGGGGAAGATAAATAAGTCTTTTCAGTGAGCTTTTTAAATCTAGAACATTTTTGCAAGCCACCTAATACTGGCTCAAGTCTTAAAACTTCATTTTAAATAGATCATCATATTTTCTTTTTGTTTCGTTGCTCAACAATAATGCAAGACTATATATATATTGGAATTGGCCTTTTAACTAAGCCCAGCGAAGGATGTTGATCAAACTGAAATTCAAAACATTGAGGGAGGGACTGTACGCATGAGGATCGTAAGCGTGCTGTTGAAAGTGGACATCATGCTGCCTCGGGCAGCGTCTTTTCACATCCAAGCTCTTTAGTTGAAATGAAGCAGAAATGTGAGGCAATTATTTCACAATCCAGATCAGTTTGTAGTTGTGGACTTTGAAGTAAATGAATATCTATCATGTCTGAACAATAAAGGGAGAGAGCGGCGACAGCATTGACCCAGTGTTATCTGAGTGATTCTATCTTTTCATTTTGTCCACGTCTCCTTTTCCTTCTAACAGTGATACATAGAATTTTGACATGAACCAGGATAAACTGCTCCCAGGAGTAAGCCTAAAAAGTAGTGTTTAAAATTATTGCCTTTTCTCCAATTTCTCTCTGTCTCTCTATCTCTGTCACTCTCTCTCTGTCTCTCTGTCTCTGTCTCTCTGTCTCTCTGTCTCTCTGTCTCTCTCTCTCTCGTTAAATAAGGCCATAATTTCAGTGAATGACATTTAGTGGCCTGCGTTAAGGGGAACACAGCTGCTCCCTTCCTTGGGAGAAAGGCCAGTGGTTCCATATATTGGGATCATTTGTTCTTCACGATCTCATTTGTTCTTCACAAAAACAATAAGGTAAGTGTTATTACGATTCCCTTTGCACAGAAGAGCAAACTGGCATAGGACAGACAAATAACTTTTCCAAGGCCATGTTGTTGGTACATGATGGAGTTGGGATTTTAGCCCTGTGGTTCGACAGGCTGCTTTTGTTATAAGTAAGGAGGGTATATATTTATGTAAATTTTTCTGGTTTCTCCTGTCAGTAAAATAAATAAAATAGCATTTGTCATTTTAATTTGTCTATATGGACCCTTTCCTTTAATCTTTTCAACAGTCTGAGATGATTTTTTTTTTTTCTTAAATGTAGAAAGATTGGATTTCTATGTCAAAATTTAGGAAAAATTAAAATCCCATCTCTGGCTTTTGGAGAGCATTGGTTCTTAGAAATATTAATATTGGCATTATTCTGTAAAATACTTTCTTAGTATAATAGTGAAAAGTTCACAAGCGAATTAGTCTGATGTCTGATTCAAAAGCCAGTTCAGAGAAATTGGTCTCCATAAATCTTTATAAAATTCTTGGAAAGCTACTAGAAAGTAAATAAATTTATCAAAAAAAAAATCAGAGGAATAATGTAATGATATGTTACTTTACTAGATAATCTTAAGAAAGGAAAAGACAAAATGAAAAAGGACTAAAAATATACATGCTTAAATCCTACTCAACAGTTCTCTGTATCTACTGCATTTCATGCCAACTCAGCTGTTGATTTTTAGCCATTACTGACTTTCTTGTTTTAACACAATCATAAAATTGGCTCAATTTTTCAAATTAAAGTAGACTCAAATTAGAAATGGATCGTGTTCTAATAGTTTATTTGTTGGCAGCTTGGCAGTTAGAAAATGTTTTGCTTCAGAAAAATAATACATTATAAACATTGGGTAGGTTCCCAAACTATCATAGAAAATAATATAAATTGAAATGAGAAAATTGATACTACTATATTTCTCAATTAGCATTGTCGGACTGTGAGAGTGTAATGATTTAAGTGCCAAAAATAAAACATTATAAAACATGCACCGTGCAATTTCAAACTGTATGGACACATAAGCCTGGAAAGATATCCATTAAAATCTGAATGATGGTTTTGTTCATGTAGTGGGAATATGGAAGATTTTCCTTTTTATATCTTTTGCTTTGAATATTGCATTTATATTTTGTAATTTGTAATTTTTTTTACAATGAATTTTTTTTATATAACTGTAACTATGTGTGCCACAAAAAGCCCATTAAGTTACCTTCTTCCATAAGAACGGTTCTCAGAGGTCAGTTCTGTGTCCAACTCCTAAGGGACCTGTGTCTTTTCCCTGAGATACTTTATCGTAGGGGTCAGGTGGCTGTGTGTCTTTGTTGTTGAATGAAAATTTCAAACACGATGTTTTGTTTTTGCTAACTCTTGTCTAGCTCAGACTATGATCACTGATGCTTGGTGAGTGAGTAAAGACTAAATGTTTCTCACTTGTTAGAGGGATCTTTTAGAGAGTGCCATTCGACCTCAAATAAATTTGTTCCTTTTGATTCTTGAAATGGACATAATAAGTAGGTTAGAAATTATTTTGGCCTAATAGCCTATATGTTTTTCCTCCACCAAATAAGAGTTTGCTCATTCAGGAGAATGTCTCAGTAGCCATCACTGTAAATTAGAGGCTGAGTGCACATTACCTGCAGCCGAAAACATGCTCAGGAAAGTCTGTTTGGCCGGAACTATTGCTGGTAAAAGAATCGTCTGCAAACATTTTTTCTTCACTGTCTTGTTTCTTGATCGAAGAACATGCCAGTGATTTAACTGTTCCTCGAGCTTCCGGAATTCCACCGTTTGGTTGTCTTTTTTCAGCTTTCCAGGGATCATTTGCAGCAAATGAATGAGTTGAAGAGGAAACGGAATAGCGTCTAACAATCATGGTATTGCCTGTACAGGAGACACAAAATTCGAGTTTAAAAATTCTACTTTTAATGATGTTCACAAATGAAAAATTACGTTGATAGTCGTTTAGTTAGTTGAAACTAACTAAACAAAACTATTTTTATTCTTTTTCACAAAAGACCTTAATTCGTTGATGTACTGACAAAGAATTGAGTTCCAACCACATGCCAGGCATTTTATTAAGAGACGATGCGGTAGTGAACGACACAAAGCTCTTGCCCGCACAGAGCTTACCCTCTTGTGTGGCAGATAATATACAAAATATGCTAAAATTCGGGTAGCGATAGATTCAAGGAAGACAAATAAGGCTGGTGAGAACAAGGGGACAGAGGTAGGGAGGGAGCGGATCTGAAAGCTGTTTCAATAGTGTGGTCAAGAAGAGCTTTCCGAGAACGCAGCATTTGAACAGATACTTTAAGATACAGAGAGATAGAAAACAAAAGTTTAAAGTGGGAAGAACATGGACCTCTAGAGATGTCAGTTCTGGATGGCTTCTCACTGCTGCTTCCAGAAGAACCTGCCCATCTGCAGTCTCTCATAGTCTGAATGGCCACAAGTGATTGAACTGGCTGCTGCTAACGGGCCTATAATTGTGTGTCTTGGTTTTAGTTGGGACAGTCATTATAAGGAAGCCTATTTAATGAGAGTAGAAAGCAAAGTAGACATGTGGAAGGAAGCAAAGATGCTTTGCGTGGGAAGCTGGTATGCTGCTGAGACAGAGAGATTAGTGGCCTTAGTTTCTGAGGGCTTCCAATTCAATTTTTGTTCATAAATGTCTTCCAATAAACTCTTTTCTCGAGGTAAGTTAAATCTTTGTTCCTTGTTATTAAAGCACCTTGATCAAAAGAGCTTTATTTCAAGGAGTCTTGGCTTGTTTGAATCTCAGCTCTGACACTGCTCTGACTGACCTAGAGCCTATCATTCAATCTCTACTAAGACATGTAGTTATTCCCCTGGGATTAATGACACTGACCTCATGGGTTGGCTTTCATTTTCTGGAGGACTTAATCAATGTTTGTCAAATCTTTATTCTTTCTTGTCACAGCTTTGCCATTAACAAGCATGGAAGTGTAAGAAAGCCTTGCCTTCTGTTTAGGTTTTGAGATACCAGAAGCACAATTATTTCTTATTTATATTTGATGCCCACATCTGCAGAACAGAGACAGCAAATTTTTATGGCCATAACAAAAAGTGGAGGCTGCCTTGACTTTTCATAGTTTGGAAGAGCAGAAAATCAAATTTTAGGCGGGAGGCTGGGGAGAGTTTAAGTTCAAATCTGTCCAAAGGGAATAACTGCAAATACTATTCATAAATTATCTTGAAATATTTTTTTTGGCCATATATAGCTTCAATAATTATCTAAAAACAAGTTTATGACTATTGACAAACATAAAAGTTTTTATTGAAAAAGATTATAAAATATCTATACTGAATGGTAAAAAAATGCAACAGAGGGAATTATGTTGATGATAGCAAAGTTAAGTTTATTCCTATTTGAGATCTATGTTCCAGCTTGACTGGTTAGCAACTAAGCTCTTTGTTCATCTCCCTGGGGTCAAAGAATCGTCTGTATCTGTTAGTTTCTTATCAATAAAAGGGAAAGGATATTTAATACAGAATCATGGAGTCATTAGCACAATTTCAAAGTTTGCTGCCAAATGCGATTTATTTGCGCCAAAGGATATGAGTAGATTGAACAGATTCGGAGGTCTAGCAATGCTGCGGCTTCCCCGTAATGAGTGTTTTTTTTTTTTTTTTTTAATCTTTCTTGTAGCAAATTACCTCTTTCCTAATAGACCTCAAGTGAAGATGCACAGAGTAGGAGGGATGAGAGCAACATCCTTGAAAGTGCTGGTTGGATTTCATATCCACCAAATGCTTACACACAATTACAGGTGTTTCCATGAGAATTTATCCAACAAAGATCCATTCAGAGCAGGTGCTCCGTATTCTCGTTATAACAGATGGATATAGTCACCATGCAGCTGCGTCCCTGGGCTATAGTATAGCTCTGTGTCCCCAGCAGAATGAGAGGAAAGAAAGCAGGTTTCACTGCTCATCAAATCTCATTTCTACACATATCCCAGAACCAAGAGAAGAGTTTTTCAGTTCCGAGTGATTCGCTTCCAAGTCTTCTTTAGTTTTCCCCTTTCCTAAAGTGAGACTCACACTCTGATTTCACATTGTTCCTCCCCCAAAAATAGGTTTATATTATTCTGTTTTCAAAAGAGAATTGGACAAGTTGCTCAATCTCTCAGGATCTTATATCCTCAACTGTAAAATAAAGTGACGATTTCTAAAGTCCTTTCCTGTATCAGATTTCTATGATTCAGTTGCAAGTATGACTTTTGACTGATATTGCACATCTTATTAAAATTGCTAATAACTTATACTCAAGTCAAATAATAATATTTTTTTCTCATAAAATAATATTGATCATTAGTATCTAATGATAATAAGACAGCTACTAACAAGTAACTCACGTTGAGTCTTACTCATGCTATCTCATTTAATCCTCTCAACAGCCCTATGAGATAGATGGATTTTATCACTACCTGCATTTTAGAGATGAGGAGAGGGATCATAAAAGCATGTTATAGTCACAGAATCGCAGAATTTTACAGCTGGAATAGGCTTTGAAAGGTGTCTGATCCAATCTATTCATTTTCACATGAGGATGCTAAGATCAGAAATTTTTATGTGACCTACCCAGCATCGACCAACTATTACAAAACTGAGACTACAAACCATGCTCAGGTCAATCAGATAAGGCACAGGTAAATATCATTTAAAGTAACTCAACCAAACTTCCAAGCACAAATTCCATGAATATGGAAGTTACCATCCATATGCTGAAAAAGTGTAATATCAATTGTGTGTTTAATTCTTATTAATATTCTACCCTTCTCTAAGCTTGATGGCATCCTCTTTGTTCTTTGAACACTATAATACTCATTTTAGAATAGCACAGATACACTAAGACCCAACTTATTTTCTCATTAAGATAAACATCATAGAAAATAGATTTGAGGAGTGTTGTTTACCTTTGGAATAAGGCAGTGGTTTCCAACGGGAGGACATACAGTCCTCCAGGTGACATTTGGAATGTCTGAAGACATTTTTGATGGTCATGACTGGAGGGGGAGAGGCAGGTACTATGGGCATCTAGAATTTGGAAGCCAGGAAAGCTGCTAAACATCCTGCAATGTCCAAGACAGATCACTACCGTACAGAATTATTCAGTTTGAAACGTCGAGCGTGCAGAGGTTAAGGAACCCTGGAATAAGGACATATTACAAATGTCCATTTTTTTTTTTCACCAGGAGTTCGGATCTCGTTTCAGGTTATGCTTTCAGTTTTATTAAATTACCATTAGAAAAAAAACGACTCAGATCAAGAGTTGTACTTGAAAAAAAGGGAAAAGACCCTGATTCAAATCTGTTCCCAGCTTTGAAATAATAAGGTCCCATCCTAGAGAGAGTCCTGTGTAACAGAGAAAAGCAGCTGATAAATATGACATGGTTCACTGCCAAGTTATTCAGAACCTCTAAATGGCATTGCCTGAAGCCTTTGGCAGATGATATTAGGAGCTTTGAGTATTTAATTATGTACATCCATTTTGCTTGAATACGCTGTGTGTAGGCAAGCGCTGACAATTTGAATGTAGGATGCACTTTTCTTCTCTGCTGATTTCTGACTTCATGTATAGTCTTCACAGTCAAAATTACTTCCAATTAAAGCTGAGATATTTAATTTATAGAATACATTAGACATTGACCCTGTATTTTAAAGTCTTTAACTTGTAGAGTAGTTTGAATTATGTACAATATAAATTCGTATAGGACAGAGAAGTTCTTTGTAAAACATGAATAAGCAGCAAGATCTGCCGTTTTGTTGTGTCTTTGCCAGGTGCTATACTGAGCACTTGGTCTATTATGGCAGTTAATCCTCACAACCACCTGAGAAAGGTACTATAACATTTGTAAATGAAAAAACAAAGGTTAAAGATGAATCAAGTGGCTAATGAGTGACCAATCACTGGAAACTATATTTGTTTGACTCTTATATCCATACGCTTAACTATTGTGCTATATCTTTCTAGCTTAATAAATGAGCATGCCATTTAGCATAAATCCATTCAGTGTTCTATTAGCATTCAAATGTTTGAAGTCAAGAAGAAAAAGACGTTGTTTATTAATGTGACTGATTTCTGTAAATCTGCCATTCTTATCTTTCCAGAAATATCTGGAAATAGTTTTAACATTGTCAAAATATGTTGCTTAAGGATGCTAAGGAAAATTTTACCTCTGAATTCAAAATCAATCTACCAAATAAAAATAGGATGGAACTCACCACTGTTAACACCAAATTACAGTTATGTGAGAAGCACGTACCTACTATTTAGGAGATATTTACAAGGACGGGCACAGCCCAGAAAAGCGGTGGACTTTCTTTACCTTGGTGTTCTTGCATGGCTGGTGCCGAATCAGTGGAAATACTACCATGAAGTGTTGCTAGAGATTGCCCAGGTGCTTTTTTGAGGTTACCAAGTTCTGTGACTTCCCCTTCCCTTTCATCTCCTGAATGTCCCCCTGAGCCAGGAGTTCTCTGACTACACGAAGACAGCTTCATGCGGAGGGCTTGATTCTCTTTCTCCAGCTTGTTGATCTCTGCCTGCATCTCCTGGATAACTCTCGTGAGCTGGACATTAGCTTCCATTGCCCCTACTCAGGTCACTCTGATTTGCTCCTCTGGAGAGACAGGCCAATTTATAAGCCAAATGCACAATCTACTCAGTGGGACTGGTTGATCCCGCCCTTAAATCTGCCTGAACAATAGATGCCATTCTTCTCTGTGCCATCTTTCAGCACTTGGGGAGTTAGGCTGTCAAGGGAAGTAAAGGGTTTCCATGACTTATTAATTCTGGGTTTTGTTTTTCAGAACAGAGCTTTTCTTTGTATTTTGCATTTCATATCAATCCACAGTTTTAGGATATTGCTTTGTGTTTGAAGAGAAGAGAACACTCCAAAAATATCCAGTGAGGAACAGAGTTTCTTGTTTCTGTCATGAACTTGTCACCCTACCAACCACTCAGTTTTTCCTCTGTTGCTACTTCTGGGATCAAATGTTTTGTAGGATCACCAACTGTCACAAGTACACCAAAACTGGCATATAAGAATTATGCCTCATTTGCTCTGTAAACTATGCCATAATTCTATACTACTTGGGTAAATCATTAATTTTAACACCTGTTGATTAAGGGTAGCAGTAATCATAGGTGGTCTTAACAATCACTGTGAGATTATTTAAATAAGATGTTGAAAATTGTTCCTAAATCTTTCAAGATAAGGTTAAGGACTTCTCAGTAGGTTTCTATCTTGTAGGCATTTTTGCTGTTAATTGGTTTTAGAGTGTTTGCTTGGGCAGAGGCTGCCCAGGATATTTTAGGAATGTAAGAAGATACAGGTTGTACATTAATCTTGAATGAGAAAGACATACAACAGTTAACAGCTTTCATCACCTATTTCCTGAAGAGGTTGCTTTGTTGGGAATGAAAAGTACAAATCTTAAATAGTACATGCTCTGATAGCAGTATCTGTTTGGAAATTCAATTAATGTTTAAACACACATGCTCTCCTGCAATAGGATAAAAATGATTAAAAAATATTATGGTGATAGTTTTCCCTGCACATTTCCTTCTTTTTTTTCTGTACATATTGATGTTTTTGTGTGTCCTGATAAATATTTGTTGATCGATCCAAGGCTGCAGGTGGAAGAAATGATTGGAGAAATGATCACTTCTTTTTTAGTCATACAAATTTATTTTATATATTTAATTATATGATGCATGTACTGAAAAGTTAGTCTAAAAAATAATGAAGCTTCTTTGACATACAATTGATCCTTAAGCAATATGGTTTGAACTATAAGTGTCCACTTACACAGTTTTTTTTCCAACAAATACCACTACTATTTTCAATCCATGGTTGGGAGTCCACAGAGGCAAAGGGCCGACTGTATGCATTGATCTACCCCATTTTATATAGAGAACTTGAGCATCTGTGGATTTTGATATGCATGGGAGACCTGGAACCAATTCCCTGTGGATACCAAGAAGCAACTTAGGTTTCTGGGCTGTCGAAATTATATGCATATTTTCAAATTTATGAGAGTTGATGCTCTAACGTACACATTGTTCAAGGGTCAGCTGTACTACTTCTGTTTGTATTTAAATGAATTTAATCTCATATGTGTCAGGCATTCCAGAGGCTACAGAAGGTGATTGTGGAAATATAGAATATGCAGTAAGATAGATCTTGAAGGTCACCTAGTCTAACCACCTATCAGAAGTTCAAGTTCATTCCACAACACCTCTGTAATGGATTATTGACACTGTCTGAATATTTCCCCTATAGAAAAGTTCCCTTCCTATTGAGGTATACCACTTACTTTAATTAAAATTATTTACATTGACCAAAAATTGGCCCCGGGTAGCTTATTCCTAGTGCTTCTCTGTGGAGAGGAAATGTAACATGTCTGATTCCCGTTCCATCTTGTCTACTCTCCCAATTGTTTCGACTGTTCATCATCTAATGTGGGTTCAAGGGCTTTGAGTCTATCACGAGCACTTTCTTTGGAACGTGTTTCCATTTGTCGATATTTCTAAATGCATTCGCCTGAAGGAAGCCAACCAGCCTGGAGTAACCTGCCATAGCTTCTGTAAAGTGTTTTGTGGGAAATATTCCACAAAAGTGGGCAGTAGGAATCATTCTCGGAATCGTATTTAGTCAACAAAGCAGGAAATAAAAATAACTTGTGTAACTGTTGGATGACAAGATATCATTATTTACAAATTTGTTTATATATCTAGAAAGCCCAAGAAAATTAATCAAAAATTTTACTCTGCAATCTACCCTTATGTTAAAAAAATAAACATTTAAAATTCAGTATCTTTTCAAAATACAATTAATAACTAGGTAGAAAAAAAATGAAAGATATCCCACTGATGATAGGCCCCCAAGGAGAAAAAACTTTGGAATTATCTTTTTAAAAGTTTGTAAAATTTATAATGAAGAACATCTAGTGTTTTACTGATACAGGAAACAACACAATGGAGTATATGCATCTGGTGAGAAGACTGTATATTTTAAAGAAATAGGATAGTTATATATACCTGAAATGCTGAGTAAAAAGAAGTATATCCAACTATATATAGGATAAATTCTGTGAAAAGAATTACAAAGAAATCCCCCAAAGGAAAACAATTCCTGTCTTTATGTGGTAAGATTTTTAATAATTGTTATTTACTTCTGTATGCTGTCTGAATTCTAAAAAATACTATAGATCCATGAAAGCCTTCCAAAAATGAAAATACTAAGCAATAAAAATAAAATAGATATGAAAGACATTTATTAAAATGAACTAATATTACATTTCCTTGGGACTTTTTTTACTTTTGATTAAGTCAAATGGTGACTGAGTCAGATGGCTGGTGAGAACTAAAATTTTTCCTTATGAAACTAATTTTAGTCTTTAATAGTTGTCATAGTAACTTTAAAAATTTAATGTCTGAATGAAAGTATAAATGCTAGGATGGTTTATAAGTATTTGTGATTTATTTTTAAGGATGTGAATGTCTTATACCATGAACTAGGCTGGCTCAGAGAGTCCTGCTTTGGGAACAGACTTGTTCAGTGGATGAGACAAGGTATTGGTTCCTCTGATGAGGAAGGAGTGGTTAGTGGGGGTCATGGAGAACAAGTCCAATGACATTCTCTGGGAAGTTCAGTCTGGCAAGTCAAACAGTATCTGAAGATCATTGTAACAGCTGACAAATAATAGTCTAGGCAAGAAACTGGTCTCAAGATCCAGCCTAAAGGACAGCAGAACAGGAAGTTGTTGTCTTGTAGAACAGCTATTATGACTCTGATGGAGCTTTGTGCCTTTATCTTGAACTAGAAAAACTAAGACTGTGGGTCCTATTTCTAGAGCAGGAGTCTTCTGACCCCTTGACATCACCTGGGAGTGTTTACTCAAAATGCAGGTCTTAACGCCTGACCTTAAACCTATTATAGACTCTCTTGCAGCAGACTGGAAAATTGCATTGTAAGAATCTCCCTAGGTTATTCTTATGTATATTAAACTTTTCCAACAATTGTTCTAGAGCAGCACTCTCCGACAGAAATGAAATGCAAGCCACATACGCAATTACAAATTCTCCAGTAGCTACATTAAAATTAAATTGTTCAAATTAATTTTAATATGTTTCATTTAGCACAGGAGATCCAGAATATTATCATTTCAATATGCAAGTAAATACCGAAATTGCTAACAGATAGTTACAGAGTTTTTCTCATGCTGTCTTTAAAATCCAGTGTGCCCTATTTACACTTAGAACCCATCACAATTTAGACACTAAATTCTCATTGGAAAAACTTGACCTCTATTTAGCTTTCATAAAATAGACAGTTGAAAAAGTGAGTTTGCGTGCTCAAGTGGTTCCAAACAAACTGGAATGTGCTTCGGTTTTGGTCAACCCTCCACACAGCTGCCTCCAGTGACCGTCCAGCTCAGTGGGTGTAGAAGGCAGTGGGCACAGCAATTCACAAGGTCTTATGTGATCCCAGCTTTGGTTCCACTCTGATTTCATCTGTACCCCTCCCCTTGATCCACCACAGTGCTCTTCCCCAGTCACCCTGGCCTTCTTCATTCTGTAGACCCCAGGCACATTCCTTCTTTAGGACCCTGGTCCTGATTGTCCCTGTGATAAAGAGTCTTTGCCCCTGGATATCTATTTAGCTAATCCCCTCATCATCTACATCAGCTAGTAAACCTCTGGCAATGAATTGACATTGTAGGAATAGAGTAGGTTTTTGGGTCTTCCCATCTGAGGGTAAAGTTTAAAAAAAAAGAAGATTGCATGAGGATGTCTGCTTCCCAGACAATGGAGAGTTGGCACCAAGTGCTTTCCTTTGATGTTTCTCAAATAAATGATGACACAGAATGTCCTTTTCCTGGATGTAAAATCATGTCTAGCTAGAATATGGTGTGTTGGGTTGACATATGGCTTCCTTATCCATTAGAACCTTGATGAGTAAGGTCAGATTAAAATTTAGAGATTTGGACTGTATCATCATCACTCGACCAAGTGTCCTTCTGGGTGGAGATACCCAATTGCCTTACCCTCTAAGACATAATAGAAAAATGTCACTTATATGAAATCTTCTTATGTCTCACTTTTCAAGCAGGCATACATCCTGCTGTTATAAATTATTTAAACAACTGCTGAGAAACTATTTTTGCAGCATTTGCTAAGAATTTACTTTGACCTTGAACTTGATATGTAGCTATTGTCAGAATGATTTCCCAGGTGACCAGATGCATCTGGTGTAGCAATGAGTCCAGACTCAGGAGCAGATTTGACAATCTGCCATCTTGCCGTCATTTTGACATTTGAGTACCGCACAGTGGCAGAGCAGTCATGTGGAAAGGAGGGAGGAGATGCGAAGTTTCTGATAGGCACAGCAACCATGAAATGCTGATAAGACTGTGAGAGGGATATTTAAAGGTGGCCTGGGTCACCCCACATGAAAGGGATTAGCCGCTTCTCCGTGCAGCCGAAGGTGAGGTGATCTTGGCTTGGCTAGCTTTGTGTGTGTGAAGAGGCTTTCATGGAAACAGGTATGGGAAGGAATATCCACCATCTGATGGCCACCACT